ATGCTAGATTTTCCTTATTCCAATTCAAATGTGGATTAAAAATTATTTATATTTTGTCTTGCATATATTTCAGCTAAAACAAAGTTCTTAGAATTGTTTTAATTCTAAGCATGAATTTCAAAAACACAAATCCTAAAAATAAAGTCAATATTATCTTAATGTTGCAATATAAATTAATATTTCTCAACTAAAATAATGTTTGTCAAAGCTAATACATTATTATTACCTTGACTTACAATGCAACATGAACCTGGAGACTAGCATTTTCAACTGGTGTGCAGCAAGAATTTTTGAAACATGCAATACCCAACTATTTAGTCAGGGGCACTGACCTCTTTTCCCCTAGATTGTCAAGTTAAAAAAATGACAACAGCCAACAAAACAATAGCCATAAGGTGGGAATGAATCAAAAATTATACTTATTTTTGTCAGATAGAAAAAATATATATTTTTTGGTGTGCCACAGAATTTTGTGGATTAGATCATGTGTGTCATGAGATTAAAAAAAGGTTGAAAATTGCTGCTGTAAACCAAAGCAGATACATAGTGGTATCTGGGGAGAAATAGCCAGATAGAAAAAATGGCCAGATGGAAAACAAAGCAAACCATATAAGTGTGGAGAATAGCTTCAAGATTGGTTTTCTTCTTTCTCTGATGTGACAGATACTTTTTGGCAAGAGTTCAGAATCTTCTATGTGTCAACTCATAATGCAAGGAGGACAATTTTTCCAATAAGACATTAATACAGGGCTATGATTCTTATATATTAATATGTGTCAGTCACCCATTTTTCCCCTCTCCTGAGACTAGGAATTGAAACATATTCCTATACCAGTAAAATTTAAGAATTTACAAGTCTGGCAGCATTATTCTCTGTGTCTTTTCTTCTCTTCATTGTAGGTCCACTATGGATATTTTAAAATATTTTGATTGCCTTTAAAGCATTTGAGATTCTTTCTATTGCCTAACTGGAAGCATTCAGGATTCCTTCCACTGACTAACTGTACCATTGACAGCCTCTCCTGAAGTGAGTGTGGACTCTAAGTCTACTCTCATTTGTGAAGTGTATTCCATATCAATAACAGGTAGTTCTCTAAGCAAGATCTTTGGTGTTGCATCCTCAGTCAGCTCTTCCATTATTATCCTACTGTTTTGTTTGTATTTTTCTCATCTGGCAGCTCCTCATGTCTTTCTTAGCTATATATTCTACCCCTATTGCCAAGATTATTGGGTCTACTTTATACTAAGAAATTTGTTAGACCGTTAGAGTATCTTTTTCATGTTTTCCAATTTTAGCTTAACAGAAGAATTATTCTCCAAAGATTTCTAAAGAGAATCTCCTGTTCTCATGTTTTCCAAGCTTTCTTTTTTAATTCTAGTGACAAGCAAAATCTTTACCCCCAGCCATGGCTGGCGTAGCTCAGTGGATTGAGTGCGGGCTGGGAACCAAAGTGTCCCAGGTTCGATTCCCAGCCAGGGTATATTCCTGGGTTGCAGGCCAGAACCCCCAGCAACCACACATTGATGTCTCTCTCTCTCTCTCTCTCTCTCTCTCTCTCTCTCTCTCTCTCTCTCTCTCTCTCTCTCTCCCTCCCCCCTTCCCTCTCTAAAAATAAATAAAATCTTAAAAAAAAAAAAAGAAATGCTTTCAGTTTAAAAAAAAAATCTTTACCCCCACATGGGTCTCTATCCTCAAGTACTGAGTTTCTGCACCTTGCGTGACCTTCCCAATTCCACGCTATTACAGATGTCAGCTTCTGCCCTCCTGCTACAAAAAGACTTTTCAGCCCTGGCTGGTGTAGCTCAGTGGATTGAGCGCGGGCTGGGAACCAAAGTGTCCCAGGTTCAATTCCCAACCAGGGTACATGTCTGGGTTGCAGGCCATAACCCTCAGCAACCGCACATTGATCTCTCTCTCTCTCTCTCTCCCTTCCCTCTCTAAAAATAAATAAATAAAATCTTAAAAAAAAAGACTTTTCTTTACTTCCTCAAGTATTTCCCTCTCAGTTGAGTACTTCGAGATGTCTCTGAAGTTTATGCCCATTGCCACTTGTCCTTTCTCATATGCAGTGTTAATGATGTAGCTTATGTTTGAATTTATTTTACCTTTGTTCGCATGCCAATTCCTGAAGGCTTTTTGTGTGAAGACATATTTACCCACTGCCTGTGAAGTTTTCTTGCAAACTATTAATTTCTCTAGCATAAATCTCTCAACGGCACTAAGGGTTTGCATTACATGAATGGTGCTTATGCTATAGAATGGAAACTGGCATTTCTGGAAGGCCCCAGCAATTCCAGGTTCCAACCTACTTTCTTGATAAAAATCTATTAAATCACTTCCCCCCCCATTTCTGGCCAACATCTTATCTAGCTAACCCTAAGCATGTACTAACCAGCATACATGTTTTTCTTTACTAACCCAATGTTAGTAAAAAAGGCTGAAGGGCATTAATCACTTTGTTTTTATAAGATGTGTGCAAATACAGATTGTTTCAAGTAGACTTACTCCAATGTTATTTTTGAAAGTTCAGCTTATTTTTGTTGTTAATTTTCTTTTTAAAAATGAACAAAGTATAATTAAAAGATTATTTTATTTATCCCGTGATCCTCCTCCTTATGGCTAGTACGCCTACCTAAAAATTATTTCTCATACAACATGGGAACCATGGTACCATATTCCGCTGTTACTACTTCCTTATCATCCCCTTTCTAGGGTAGTTGAGTGATTACCTTTTGCATCACAAAAACTTGGACTCTTGTCTTGGCTCTCTCCTGCTACAAGTTATGAGACTGTGGGGAAATTATTTAACTTTACTGAGTCTTATTTAAATATATTTTATTGATTATGCTATTACATGTGCCCCATTTATTTCCCCCCTTTATTCCCCTCCACCCTGTACCCCCACCCATTAGCATTCCTCCCTCTTAGTTCATGTCCATGGGTCATACATATAATCATTTCCCATACTATTCTTAACCTTTCCCTGTCTATTTTATGCCTACCATTTATGCTTCTTATTCCCTGTACCTTTTCCCCCATTCTCTCCAATTCCCCTTCCCTCTGATAACCCTCCATGTGATCTCTATTTCCGTGATTCTGTTCCTGTTCTAGTTGTATGCTTACTTTGTTTTTGTTTTTTAAGTTCAATTGTTGGTAGTTTTGAGTTTGTTGTCATTTTACTGTTCATAGTTTTGATCATCTTTTTCTTCAATAAGTCCCCTTAATATTTCATATAATAAGAGCTTGGTGATGATGAACTCCTTTAACTTGATCTTATCTGGGAAGCACTTTATCCACTCTTCCATTTAAATGAAAGCTTTGCTGGATAGAGTAATCTTGGATGTAGGTCCTCTCCTTTCATGACTTTGATTGCTTCTTTCCAGCTCTTCTGGACTATAAGGTTTCTTTTGAGAAATCAGTTGATAGCCTTATGGGAACTCCTTTATAGGTAACTGTCTCCCTTTCTCTTGCTGCCTTTAATATTCTCTCCTTATCTTTAATCTTGGGCAATGTAATCATGATGTACTTTGGTGTGTGCTTCCTTTGGTCCAACTTCTATGTGACTCTCTGAGCTTCTTGGACTTCCTGGAAGTCTATTTTCCTTTGCCAGATTGGTGAAGATCTCCTTCATTATTTTTTTGAACAAGTTTTCAATTTCTTTCTCTTCCTCTTCTTCTGGCACCCCTATGATTCAGATATTGGAACTTTGAAAGTTGTCCCAGAGGTTCCTAAACCTCTCCTCATTTTCTTGAATTCTTTATTCTTCATTCTGTTCTTGTTGAATGTTTAATTTTGCCTTCTGCTCCAAATCGTTGATTTGAGTCCTGGTTTCCTTCTTTTCACTGTTGGTTACCTGTATATTTTTCTTTATTTCACTTTGCATAGCCTTCACTTTTTCCTCTATTTTGTGACAATAGTCAGCCATTTCTGTGAGCATCCTGATTACCAGTGTTTTGAACTGTGCATCTGATAGGTTGGCTATCTCTTCATGGTTTAGTTTTATATTTAGAGATTTGATCTGTTCTTTCATTTGGGCCACATTTTTTTGTTTGGCTGGACTTACCTGTTACATAGTAAGGGGTGGAGCCTTAGGAATCCACCATGTGGGCAACCCACATGGCTGCATTGAAGTGCTGTATGTGGGAGAGGGATCCAAGAAAAATCAAAGGCACTTGCTTGGCTCTTACCTGGCTTTCAGTCACTTCCCCCCCTACCCACAAGCAAATTGAGCCTTTCTGGGACTGATTCCCAGGTGGGTGGGTTTGTGTTTTTTCTAGAACCCTGTGGGTCTCTCCAACAAACTCTCTTGTGAGCCTGAGAGTTTCTCCCTCTGCCTCAACCCCCACAGCCAGAGGTTTTGATGCTCTTTTTGCCCACACTGAAACCCTGGGTTGTGCAGTTTGTCTTGTTCCACAGTTGTTTTTTCCAGTTTAACCACATACAAGTGTGGAAGTTCCCAGCTCACCTGCCAGGTACTCCAGCCACCACCTTGCTATGCGTCCTCTCCAGCTCAGCTACCAATTTCCACCCCTCCAACCAGTCTGAGTGAATGTTTCTTCTTTAACTCCTTGGTTATCAGACTTCCATACAGTTCAATTTTCTGGCAGTTCTGGTTACTTTTTGTTTTTAAATCTGTCATTGTCTTTCTTTTGGTTGTGCGAGGATGTAAAGTGTATCTATTTATACCTCCATCTTGATTGGAAGTCTTTTCTGAGATTTTTAGATGAAATTATTATCATAATTATTATTTAACTCATAGGATTACTATTATACTTAAATGAGTAACCTATTGCAAACATATAGGAGAGTCTAATGTGCCTCTTATTTTTAACTGGATCACTAAAAGGTACACATGAAAATGTTCAATTTCTAAATCTTGATTAGAAGACTTTCAGTAATTAATCTTTGTGTTATAACTGGATGTTAATATGGACACTAATGAGACTATTTTGTGGTTGATTATACCTCTGATGGCTGTCGATTCTTTTTACATAATTAGGAGCTACAACCAATGGTGTCGTGATGAAAAACTTGACCACCGCAACTGTAACAGTGAGAAATCTTTCACTTCCAAGTACTGTTTCAACATTACAAAGTGCACAAGACAAAAGTAAGTATAAGAATTTGTGCTGAAATGTTAAACTAGCATGTTAGATAGAATTAGACTCAGAATGTTTTTCTAGACCACTGCTACTGAAGAGTCATGCTTTCCCCAAATTCTCTCCTAGTCTCTGCCAAATGAGACAACCATTTGGCAGTGTTGGTTTGTACAGTGACACTCTACCCCTCCACAGCCACAAATGGCTGCGTGCCAATGAAGATCAGTTCAAGGGTGGGCAGTCACCTGTGGTATCTGGCACAATAAAAAACATGAACTGGGCCTATGAATTAGACAACTTTGATAAGTGAGAAAATTCTTAGAAGCAACAAATTGCTAAAACTGACTCAAAATGATAATAAATCTGAAAAGATCTAAAACATTTATAGATACTGCATTAGAAATTTAAAATTGTTCCATGAAGCAAACTCCATACAGGATGTGTTCACATGTGAATTCTATAAATTATTTTCAAAAGAAATGAAACAATTATTTTCAAATTCTTTCATGAAGTAGAAGAGGGAAAAGTACATAAATAAAGATCTGAGGCCAGTATTACCCTACTACCAAAGCTAAAAAATAATAAAAAGGAAAAGCAAGTCAAGAAAACTTGACTTGCCAAATCCCTCATAAATATAGATTCAAATGTCCTTAATAAAATATTAGCAAACCAAACTTAATGACATATAAAAAGGGATATAAAATTACGATTAAGTGGGATTTATCCAGGAATGCAAGCTTGGTTTAGCATATGAAAATGAAATAACATAATATACCATATTAGTCAAATCAGTAGGTATAAAAATATTGACAATATTTAACAAACACTAATAATTAAAACCCTCACAAAATAAGAAATAAATAGTTACTTTCTCAAACTGATAAAGGACATTAATAAAAAACATACAGCAAACACCATACTTAATAGTGAAAAACTTAAAGTTTTTCTCTTAAGATCTGGAACATAGCAAAGATGTCCATTGTCACCACTTCTGTTAAAAATTATAACCAAAGATTCTAGATAGTACAATAAGGTGATAGATAGACAGACACATGGAGACACAAACAGATAGCTAGGACCATTTACCCAGATTAGAAAGGAGAAAACAAAACAGTTTTTCTTAGCAGACTACATCATCATCTGTGCAGAAAATTCCAAGAAACTACTAAAACTACTAGAATTAATAAAGAATACTTTGTATTACAGCATATGAGATATAACTATAAATGATATTTCTATATATTAACAATGGCAATTCAAAATTAAAGTTAAGGAAATAATGCCATTTACAATTGCATGAGAAACAGCAAGATATATAGAAATAAATTTGACCATAGATGTGTAAGATTTATACACTGAAATACAAAACATTTTCTGTGGGAAATTAAATATCTAATTCAATGGAGAGACATTATATAATCATGGATTAGAGGACTCAATATTTCAAGTTATCTGTTCTCCCCAAGTTGATAAATAATTGATTAATATATTCAATGCCATCCCTATCAGAATCGCAGCCAGGGTTTTTTTTAGAAATTGATATGCTGGTCCTAAAATATATTATATAGAAATAAAGAGGACCTGCAATAGCCAAAACACCTTTCAAAAACAACAAAGTTGGAGGGTGTACACAAGCTAATTATAAAACTTACTCTAAAGATATAGTTATCAAGATAGGGTATTACTGAGAAAAATAAATGTTAATAGTAGCATTATTAATAATAGTCACACTGAAAATAACTCAAATATCTATGAACTGATGAAATGGAATATTCCATTGGATTCTCTATTTGGAATGAACTTGGAACTTTCGAAAACATGTAATAGCCATACAATGGAATACTATTCAGCAATTTAAAGAGACACGATACTGATACATGTTATAACACAATGAACTTCAAAAGTATTATGCCCAGAGACAGAACTTTTTCACAAAACATGACATATTGTGTAATTTTATTTATATAAAATATCCAGAATGAACATTTTTATAGGGAAAGAAAGCAGACAAGTGGTTGCCTAAAGCTGAAGATGGGACTAGAGATTAACTGCAAAAAAAAGGCTCAGGGGAGTCTTTTGTGTTAATGAAAATGTCCTAAAACTGGATTATACTAATTGTTGCACAATTTTATAAATTTACTAAAAAGTATTGAGTTGTAGACTTCAAATTAGTTTATTTAGTTTTTAATTTCTTTATAAAGCTTAGTTAAAATGCTAAAGAAAATAAAATCTTGACCTAGGCCAATCAAATTCCCTGGGTCATATGAGCTAAGAAACCCAAAGAAACAAAAAAAGTGATTAGGTGTGGAAACTGAAGCAGCAAGGTTTCAGTACAGTGAGTCTGAGACAACTGTGGTGATTTCCATGCTTACCTATGATGCAATAAAAACTTTATGAATAAGTAGAGTTGATAGAGAAGAATGGAGACAGTAAATGGGAAGATGGAAAAACCTTATAAGCAAAATTAAGTTGTTTGTGACAGACAGAGAGAGTAGTAAGACAAATTTCTGACAGATTTCCAGTTCCAGTTTATACCTTCTTAACAAGCACTTCCCATATCCTGGCCTCCATTATATAAAGGAATCTGTACTTTTATTGAAATTATCTTGACTATAAAAGCTAATAATTTGTCATAACAGCATTATCAGATACCATTTATTATAAATAATGGATGTACTTTTGACACATCCATCATCCTTAATAAGCAGCAGCTACAGATGACTCAGAGTCTCTATGTCTGTTCTTGGGAGACCTCTTAGATAAAAGGAGATGGCAAGTGGGAACCATGATGTCCAAGGCCCACTCTTGTCTTGAAAGACATCAAGAACATCCATTTTCTTCCTTTTTATTGTAATCATGTTAAGCACAACATAAAGAAGACTACCTAGAATGAGTCTGATTTCACACAATAATTGTGAACTAATTTTTTTTATGAGGCAGTGACCACATAGAGGAATCAGAAGGGCAGGATCATTTCTACTTCATATGAAGAACATTTCCTGGGGTAGTGTTTGGCTTCTTTTAAGTAGAACCTATTTTGTAGGCAATATATGTCTGAAAGGTGCCTTTAGGAAATCAAAACCTCATGTATCTCATCCTACAACTGCCCTGAATACAAGCACCAATAAAAGTAAATATGAATCTGCAAAATACATAGCAGTGGAAGCTTACACTCAGATAATTAGTATGCTGCACTTATACACATTTAGTGACTGATGAGAACAATGTCATTCAGGTCCATAGTTTATTCAAACTAGCTCTTATACAGAAGTGAGTGGCCAACCCTATGAGTCACTTAAGACTCCTCATTTTATTTTGATTTGTACAGTAAAATGTCCTCTGCATCTCAGTTCTAGGGACTACTGTATTCGTTTGGCTTCTGAACAGTGAGAATTTGCTTTGTTCCAAGTAGTTTTAAAAAACACCCACAAAGCCATTTCTTGAAAAATCAATTAACACAGAAAGCAAGATAATGAAATAAGAGTATTTACTGCTGCCCTTTCTATTTGTCATTCCATTAGCTAAGGTGTATGCTAAGTCCTTTAGATATTTTGTTATGAAATTCATTTCTCCCCAGATCATTTTCATTCTCAAGGTGCTTCCTACTTAGCATGGACCCCACTGGATATAGTGAGTTTATACACATTTCCACTTCTACATGATGAAACCAGGAGCCTGCCCAGATTCCTGATTAGCACCCTTTCTATTCCCATCCTTCAGATACATATTTAAAATTAGTGGAGCCATGACAGAGAGGTAGAAAGAAAACAAAACAATCTACTAGTAGGGGAAGGTTGAACAGGTGATGACTCATCTCCCTGTATAGAACCTATATGGGCAATGGGTCTTCAGATAGCAGATAAAGGCACTGTGGGTACATTGTTTCAGGTGCAGGATTGATTTGGAGTAGAGAAGAGTTAGTGAAGTTTCTGCTTTACTCTGCAGAAAGGCAGATGAAGGTCTAAAAAAAAAGATGTCTGAAAACAACATTTGTGTTTAATTTTTTCCCATTTTCTTGAAGTTCTCTCTCTCCCTCTCTCTCTCTCTCTCTCTCTCTCTCTCTCTCTCTCTCTCTCTCTCTCTCTCTCTCTCTCTCTCTTTCTCATAGCCTTGCTGGATAAAACAGTTCTGGCTGTAGATCCTTGCTTTCCATGGCTTTGAATATTTCATGTCAATCCCTTCTGGCCTGAAATGTTTCTGTTCCAAAATACAGACAAGACAAGCTAAAGGAGTTCATTACCACCAAACCAACATTACAAGAAACATTAAAAGTCACAAATCCCCTATGATTTCACTTATATGTGGAATCTGATGAATGTTGAGTGTATTTATCTTGTTTGCTCTTGTTCCGTTTTATTCTGCCTGTAGAAAACACATTCCTAGAATCCTAAAATTTTTAAGATATAAATCCTCATTCATTCACCATTTTTGACATTAGAGTTAAAGAAATGGGGGCCCTTTGAATTAATTATAAATTAATTCATTCACTAAGGATCCTTTGGAGGGCATCTGTGTGCCATCATGCTTCCTAGCTTCTGGGGAGGGCCAGCAGCCCTCTGTGTTCCCTGGTTTATAGATACATTGCTTTACTCTCTGTCTCCATCTTCACACAGCCTTCTCCTCTGTGTCTCCTCTTCTGTCTTTGTCTTCTCTTATAAAGACAAGTGTCATTGGTTTTAGGGCCTGATCTAATCTAGAAAGATTACATCTCAAGATGCTTAATAACATCTGCAAAGACCCTTTTTCCAATAACTTCACATTCATGAGTTACAGATGCACATACCTTTTCAGGGAAGAAAGGGGTGTCATCATTTCACCCACTCCAGACTATGTCCTGACTTTGCCCTTACAACACCTAGATTTCGTGACCAATACATTTGTCATTGTTTACATGCAGGGCTACCTTGCTGGGCATTGAGGGGTGATTCTATGGAAAAGTCAAGCTTCCAATATCTAAAATGTGGAAGGACTGGTGGAAATTCAGTTGTAAGACTACAGATTGTCTCTTCCT